TGTTTACACGTAAATCATATGATACTATATGATATTGGTTACACAAAGTTGATCTACAATCTATTTTATATGAATTTGGAAATAGTTACACCCTACCCTTAATTTCCGGTCAAATTAGAATTTTGAAAATCATCGGCCTAAGCTAGATTAATGCAGGTCAAATGTCATGATCACGTTACTGCACTTTTTATGGTCGCCACGGATGATTCCCAAATTACGCCGATTAAGACTAATATAAAATGGGTTACAATTACAATATTGTACGGCTTCCATAAATTCTTCTTTCAATTGCATTGAATAGCTTTGGAAGCTCGGAACATAATTAGTCTCCAACTAATTTGATTGACTAATAGTCACGTTTAGATTAGCCAATCAGATGAATACGTTCCAGTGAGAAAATCATTTCACTGGAAGAATCTGGACGTTCCACTCTTCCAGTGATAACACTGCTTTAAGGATTGAAATAGTTTAACCGTATGAAATTTGCCTATAGCAGATAGTTGAATGATGTTAGTCTGAAATTTTCGAAAACAGCTAGACAAACTACACACTGTTAAACATTAATTATTAAAAAAAATAATTTTTCTTTGACATTAAGCGATTTCAAATAATAAAATGCTCATTAGCCTCGCATGCTAAATCGACGCGAATTTTAAAATACTTATTACAGCAATAAGTGTTCTTTATACACGCGCACTAATTAAATAAATGTTATGTTAAATGGCTTTTTTTAAATACATACTTAGATTAATAGATGTTCTTTATATTCATGTAATAAATATTCATGAACTCAAATTAGCATTTTTAAATACTTAGACTAATAAATATTTATTGTCCGGAACACTTTGTTTTTACTACGGATATCATCACGTGATTGTGTCTGTTTGTTCGCTTCCGCGATGCAGATTGGTTGAATACGTATACGATGATAATAGAGTTTTGGTTGTAGTTTACGCGTAAATCTATGTATAAATATTTGTTTGAACTGATTTCCTATCCTTTATTTGAGTTTAGATCAAAAGTATAATTATTTAATGAAATACGAAAAAAACACGGATCAAAATTTTGGAAAAGAATATTATTCAATATAATGTTCTTAGGCATTGCATAAAATGTTGTGCAATGCGAGTCATCTTTAAATGACAAAAAAGGGTTTTCGGTATTATGACCGACGCGAAAAGTGGTAATTTTTCTAACATAGCTCTTCTCTCTTACCTGAATGAACGTGAACACGTAATTGATCATATTAGTTCTTGATTCTTAACCGTGATGTTATGGTATCTTTACCGTTAACTACGGAAAATTGGTATGGTCTAGATAGTATAGATTTCTGGTAAAAATTTATTTCTTCTTGTTTAGTTATTTTTATTTTTTATTTTTTTATATAAAAAGACTTACACAATATTTCTTTAATAGGGGAGAAAAACGTTAAAAGCATCAATTCAAGATGATGATACGTTTAAAACAAGCAGGAACAATACTCAGTCCAAATGACTTTGAAAATTTAAGAGACAAGGTATTGTTTTTTTTTTTAATTTATCAAGGAGCTCCTGGATAGTCCGAGTAATGGTGCGACACCCCTAATCATTCAACGTTCTAGATTCAGGGTTATCAGTCCACGCTCTGCGTCTTACCATTGTGAATCTGTGTTTTACTATCATATAAATTTGCATTAGATTTGTATGATTAATTCTTTACATCATAAAATTCATTTAACATATTAAGGAGAGAAAATTTATCAGGCCTTGCACCAAAAACGGTAACTGAACAAGAACACTATGTTCAATTTTTATCTAAAGAAAAACAATATTTAGCAAGATGCATCTTGCTAAACATAGTATTAAAAACTGCGGATATTCGGCATTTAATGCTGCTGAATATTATCGACGATCCGGCGAAAAAGTTAAGGCTTAGTATTGAAAATCGAACCGGCAATTATATAGATGAGGTTCAAAAGATTTAACTCAATCTGCTATTGCGTTATTCGATGCGTTACTCAATAATGTTAAGAAAGAAATTAATGTTGAAAAAATCGATCCATATATAAGCCCAATTTTTCTTAATAAAAGTAGAGAATAATAGGTTGATTCTGAACGTTCAACAAAATGGTTGAAAATCTGTTGGCACTACAGTCCCAGCAAATATAATTGACTGAATTCAAAATGTCTACAAAAGATAATAAACAAAAATCTCTTCATAAAATTTTAAAACTATTGCTAAACATCTTGTCCATCGGGAAAATTAAACGTAACCAAATATCATAGCTTTTCTAACTTTTGATGTATACAGGTTAAAGTAATGTTGGTTCTAATTCTTAGTTTTAAGACTTTGATATCTTGATATCGCTGGTTCGATTTCAGCAACGGTTTATTTTTTTAAAAAACTTCATGGCCTTGATTTTATAACAATTAATTTTTGTGACCTCTTAGCGTTAGGCTTAGTAGATAAATTCCATACGTTAATTATGATACCTGAAACAGCTTTGCATAAGAAACGAAATCGACAAATTCCGTATAAAAAGTAGATCTATCTTTCAGAATAAAGTTAATTTTATTCTCATTTATTTAAATAATACTAAATTAATTTTAATTAAGCTTATATCGCTACTCCTGTAAATAGTAATAAATTGGTTTGGCTCGCTTTATTATTATTATTAATTCAGTATTGCACAATTATAAACCACAGTATATAAAATTTAAAACTAAAATACAACTTTGTATAGTTTTAATTATACATTTATATATTATGTTATCAGTATATATATATGCGGGAAGAGTTTAAGTAGAACTTAGTATAATTATAAGTGAAATTAATTTATTATATTAAATTCTAAATTTATTAAAATTGTATTCACTTACAACGGTATTGAAAATTAATTTTGGATGTGATATTTAAAAACTATATATATATATACATATACGTTTTATATGACATATATTGCTTTTTTATTTATAATATACATAAGTTTATTTTTAAAGGGGGTGGGGTGCTTTAATTAAATAGAATCATAATAACTTCAGGTATAATTAAAGAAGTTTTCATGATGTACTATCATTGTATTTAAATATGGCTATAGATACAAGCTTATTTACGCACTCGTTTATCTGTTAGTAATAAAAATTATTCTTTAACTAAAAAAGTAGCGTTTAGGATTAATGTGATAAAAAACGAAAAGCACAACAAAGAAATCAATTCCAACGTAAAAAAGGTCGAAAGAAATCAATTACAGCGAAGGAAATAGTATTCGTCGAATTAAACAAATTTGTTTGAGAGAATGTCGGATTAAAAAATTATTTCTGATACTTAGTAAAAATTAAATTCACGACAATATTTCTCTGGATCGTAATGAAGATTTTTTTTCAAAACTCAGGGAGTTGAAAATTTGTTATCTGTGGCAAATAAGCACAAGCAGATAAATCCAAAACATAAACATCGTCGAAGACACTGTGACCATCATATCCCCCGAAAACGAAAAGTCGAGAATCATAAAGTACCGTCGTATGATACCCCCTCCCTGATGGTGGTGTGCCATACACTTTGCGGACCTCCCATTGCATAGTAACTAATAATGATAAGAATTTGATATAATTAATATGTTACTGATATTATATTATCATATATGAATGCTGCCAAGTGAAAATGTAACATCGGTTTTGATTGATTATTTACCTGATTCAGCCCTTCTGATCGACGACACATCGGGCTTTAAATTACCCCTGAAAAATTGGTCATTATATACAATATCGAAATGACTATGACGATATTTTCAGGGTTAATTATATAATTTGAAAGCCTGAAGTGTCGTCGATCAGAAGGGCTGAATCAGAGAAATAATCAATAAAACCGATGTCCCATTTTCCCTTGGCAGTACCCATATTTAATAAAAAGATAATCTACTACATACCCAAGTTTAATAAAAGAACTTCTGAGGTGTACCGTACACCATCGTGCCCACAAACGATAAACAAATATGAACCTACTTGTGTCGCGGTATGCGAAAGCCGTTGGCGAGAATTTGCTATATTGACTTTGATCCAATTGTTTCTCTCTAAAAGTACAAAAAATATATGCATTATTTTCCATGTTAAAATTTGATCTCCAACAACCTTTTCCACTTGCCTAAATCCAGCATAAAAACATCGTCGAAACATTCATGCCCATCGCTACCACCATAAACCACGAGCTTATTTCCTACCAGATTACTGGTGTGATAACCTCTAGAAATTGGTGGTCTGCCAGTTGTCTCTAACTTTTCCCAAACTAAATTGTTCATATCAGATATATTTAATTTATAAACATCGTTGAGGGCACGAACTCCATCACCACCACCAAAAACATAGATACAATTGTTATAGTAGGCGGTGGTATGTGCACGGCGTCTTGACGGAATATTACCCGTTGTTTTCGGTTTTGTCCAAGTGAGCGTATCTAAAAATGACAAAATAGTTTAAAAACAAGATAAAATCCATGGTCATGATTAACATCAATATTCTTGCGCATAAGAAACAACTAATTAATTCTCCTTGAGAGAACATAAACTATTTGTACCAGTATCGAAAACATATAGGTCATTGAAATATTCAGGTCCGTCTCCTCCTCCGAATATAAACAATCTTTTATCTACAAGGGTGGAAGAGTGAGCACGACATGCCGGTGGAGGATCACCAATAGTCCTTGGCTTACTCCAATACATCGTATCTAATATATATATATATATATGAAATCATGCAATTTACGACCAATTAACTCAATAATAATGCTAAAAACAATATAGATGCATACCAGCGTCGAATATATATATAGAATTAAAACATGTTCTGGAATCACATCCACCAAACACATACATTAATTCACCCACTAAATTTACTGTATGCGCTCTAAGAGCTTTGGGAATCTTGCCATGAGTCCTAATTTTTGACCAGTACATTGATGGAGCAGGTGCAGGAGGAACTGGTGGTGCTTGAGGTATATGAGGTTCACTTTGAGGATTCCTTCTTCTGTCTCCGTGATGATGGGTATGATAATGTCTTCTTGTTATTGTTGACACAGTTAAGTTTGGTGATTGGCTGCCAGCCGGCGTAGGTCCGCGTTGGTTAGGTTGATTTGACGATGATGTTTGTTGAGAATTCACAACTCGGTTTGCAGGAGATGATGAATTATATGTATTAGTGTGAGATGGTGGTGTGGTTGTAGGTGAGGTTACTTTATAATTGATAACATAAAATAGATGAATGTCATTAGAATATGCTAGCATCGAATGCATAAAAAGCTTTGATCTAACAAAAAGTTCGCATTGATTAATTAATGCTTAATGACGAACTTGAAGAAGGGCCTGTATTATTAGGAGAAATGGATAGAAGAGGATCTTCTGAGACATTATTATCAGGTGGAATGGTCGGAGAATCATCAGGAAATGCAGGGTTTGTGGTATCTGTAGGACTATCCTCTCCGTTGTTCTGAACTTGGCTTTTAACATTAAAAATTCAAATCGTATTAAAATTTCAAATTGTAAATATTTAGTAATAATGTTTAGTTATAATTTTATTGCTGGCTGTGTATACGTGATGATAAACATTATTATATAGAAATAGGTAAAAGTTAATGTATAATATATCATAAACTTACTTTGATCGGTTGGCAGCCATCTGGGGATGTGAATGATCTTTTACAGTCAATCAGAAACGGACATTGAAAGACGACTTCCTATACAATTAGAGCACGTAATGTAAAGCTTAATAAATATGAGCAAAGGTGATCAAGGGCACAAACAAGTAAGCCTTATTTTGTAGAAAAATTAACAACTTACTGACTGACTTTAAAGATTAGGTGTTATATTTTTATTCTTTATGGATATACTTTTATTATTTTTCAACCAATAGCAACTTGTAATAGCTTTAACAAGATGGATCTACGCATATAACTGTATACCGGTTAAAGGATATAAATATAACGATAAGAAAATTAAACTGCTTTCGTGTAACCTCTCATCATTATCCGGTAAAATTAATTTAAAATTTCTTTTTTAGCACATAGTCACATGGTATTTTTTATATAATTTATAACTTTTAACAGATAACAATAGTTTTTAAAGACATGAAACGAGTTAAAAAACGAATTGAAAAAGATCGATCGGTAGGTCTCAAAAAAACGATCGTACTCTGAGTAGTCATTAAATTACACTATTTATATTCGTCGCTGAAATGTAGGGATTCGTTGAGCTTTATCCTGAAGAACTTGAGGATATGTGGCATGTGTATAATCTAATTTCAGTAGGAGATAATTTGAAAGCCACAACAATACGGTAAATGTCAAAATTTCCATTGCCTCGAACTTAGATGTTCAATTAAAACCGATTGTTATCTATCTATCTATATAATATAGGCGTGTTCAAAATGAAAGTAGTACTGGTTCGGTAGAATCACAACGGATAAGACTTACTTTGACCATAACAGTAGAAGATATAGATTTTGATCCACAAGGAGGTCTATTGAGAATTAAAGGACGTAATATTGTCGAAAATAAATATGTTAAAGTATAGTTTCCATATTTGTATAAAGTTTCTAATGTATTTATATGAAACGCTGTATGTTATCTAAAACTTTATTTATAATATATCAGATGGGCATGTATCATACGATTGATCTTGAATTAAATCGAAATTTTACACTGTTTAAAGCAGAATGGGATATTATTGCACTTGAACGTATTGAAGAAGCATGCGATATTACAAAGCAGGCTGATGTTGCAGCAGTCGTGCTTCAGGAAGGTTAGCCGATACACAGATTAGTCTTTATTATCTTTATATCTATCACTACATCCATAATTTATTAATTTAGGTCTAGCAAATGTATGCTTAGTTACACAACACATGACTATAGTGCGACAAAGAATTGAACACCCTATCCCGCGTAAACGCAAGGGGTTTGTGACAAATTACGAAAAGGTTTAAATTGTAATTAAATGTTTTACATAAATCAAAATTTTTTTTGATTAGGATTTTTTTTTTTATTGTTACTCAAGGGTTTACAAAAATTCTATGATCAAGTGCTACAAGCGATTTTACGGCATGTAAATTTTGAAATAATCAAGGTTGTCATTTTAGCAAGCCCTGGATTTGTTAAGGTAAATATTTCAAAAGGTTAAAGAATTTATTACACTATATTAAGTAAAATAATTATTAGCATAATATCTCATTTAATAAAGGACCAACTTCGTGAATATATATTTGCTGAGGCAGTGGTATTTAAAATTTTCATTATAATCATGTTAGACTGCTACTGACATCATATTTACATGCCCTTGATTTATTATGTGGTGATTAGAAACAAGATATTAGGTCATTATTGGAAAATAAATCAAAGTTTATTCTTATTCATTGTTCGTCGGGTCATAAACATTCACTTCAAGAAGTGTTACAAGATCCTGCTGTACAAAGCCAATTAACAGACACAAAGTTCGCAAGAGAGATTGTAGCTCTAGATAAGTTTTTCAAGATGCTTAATGATGATCCTGACAGAGCCTTCTATGGTTGGGATCATGTAAGGAAAGCAGAAGAAAGGGGCGCTATTGGAACGTTACTTCTTTCTGATGAATTATTTAGGTATTATAAAGGCACAATTCAACGTGGAGTAACGTGAAGTACAAATAGCATTTTAAGTTTATTAATCTCCTTTAATTTTTTAAAGGTCCGCAGATATTCCAACCCGTAAAAAATATATTAATCTTGTCGAATCAGTTCGTTCAATTGGAGGCAAAGTGTTAATATTTTCGAGTCTACACGTTTCAGGAGAACGTATGTGGAAAATTTCGTGTAAAATTTATGTATTACTATTTATTAACTATGATTTCTTTTTAGAACTTAATCAGCTCACAGGAGTAGCTGCAATTCTTAATTTTCCTTTACCTGACATCGAATTAGAAGAGGATGAAAATAATCAAATAGCAACAGAAGATAATTCATAATAATTTTACTCTCTTGAATTAATTTTGTATCTAGTGTTTCTAAAATAGAATTAATATTTTGAGTTGAATATTTATGAACAATCAAAAACTGTACAAATTAATGTATATAAATAAGTGTTGAAACTCTTTTAAATTTATTATTATACAAAGATAAATAATTTTGGATTAAAAAATATTTATTTTTTAATTCTTTCAACTCTCTCTTTCAAGAAAAAGGTTTGAATCTCTTAATAGATTTAATAATAGAACATTAAATATTATCGAATAGTTACGCTTGATTCATCGCATTATTTGATTATATTATTGCATCAAAAAGCAATTTTAAAGTGGGAGCAATCGTGTGGCTTATGAGGTACTGTACGTACGTAGTAAAATATCAGGACCGCAGCAATCTGCAGCCCCCGGGATTTTTTGACATCAAGGGCCCACAAGATATCTTTGCAGATAAATTTGTCTGCGAATTGTTATCTATAATGCAGTGTGTATTACAGGCTTCACGATGATAGTGTGATAATGTAAGAATTTGAAATTTCAGAATTCATGGTTACACGATATCTCACAAGAGATCTATTCATTTTTTTTTCATAATGTAGTACAAAAATAATTTCGATATCACTTTCGCATGCTAGATAGTTATAAAATGATGTTACGCACTCAGAAGAGTGTGAAGCATAGCATGTGATTATATTAAGAATCATGAACATGTCAAGGACGTAATCAAGTCGTATGTAAAAAATCGCCATATTTTTTTCGCACCTTAAAAATATTAATATATGGACTCGGAATAGCAGTTTCATTTTTATCTTCATTATTCAACAGGAAAATTTATTTACGGTGACTGCTAAAACAATGAATTTTAACACCAAATAAGGCCACTCCAAATTGATTCTAGCTCATAAGAGTGGGAGGGCATAAAAAATGCACAAATTAAAAAAAATGCAGCAATTCTATTGGTTGTAAAAAAATATAAAAAGTTAATACTGCAATTTGATTGGTTAATGCGATGCGTATGTTTTAAATGGGGGATTATGTTAAACAAATAATTAAATTGGTCTGGCCTAATAGATAGATAAAGAAATAAATGTCGTACGTCGGAACAAAATTATTGTAGATTTAGAATCCGAATGTAGTCCAAGTTGATACGAAATTTAAAAGCAACTTAAGTCGTTATATATTTGATACTATACCGGTATAATCGATAAATTTAATAGCAACTTAATTTCGATACTGTGATATATTGTCAAGATATAAAACATTAATCCTTTTTTTTTCATTCTTTGCAATTCTACCTGACAACCGAATATTAGATTATCCGTAATGTATTCTAAGAATTGGTTTCCAAATATTTCAGTAATGAGTCGGCAAATAGGCAGCATAAAACCTTACGTAAAGACTTTTACAAGGTTCAGCAATTACAACAATCCGGATGCGAAAAATCGTTATTTGGCAAAAATGCATTCGCTTAAAATAGTATTCTTTCAATGCTCATAAGCATTCAAAACGCATCTATTATGTAATCTCTTCGCAAGTAGGTAATATTAAATGCAATTGCAAAAATGCATGAGACAAAAATCGCTGTAAATGTAAAAATAAATCTACCCTGTAGGAATAGTTGATATCCCACTAATCATAGATGTAAAAATTTTGTGTAATGCTTTTAAATTTAATTAATTTGCAATGCACTATGTTATGAATAAATCCTATCTTAAAGTGATTTAAATTCCAAAACAACGTATTCGATGAAATAATTTGTAATACACATAATTTTGTTGTAAGTTGAATTGGAATTCTTTAACGACTTGGGCACATTTTAGAATTCTATTGCATCTATGTTTATTCGGAATCAACCTAGGTGGATATATCAGAATAATTTCTGCGCCAATCACGAATATTCTTAAGAATCCCAACACAAATCCCGACAACCCCGACATCTGTAACGCAAAGTCACGCGATTGGTTAGATGGATTTAATAACATGTGATTTTGCACTTTTTGCATTCGGAAATTCTACGGACAGAGCTTAGGGACAGAACGGGACAGATCAGGGTCACGTGATATCATCAAGAGAGAAAAATAAAAATTTTCTTAAATCTAAATCAAAATATCTTAGCAACCACCCGACCAAATTCGAGAAACATTTTTATTTGAATTCTATGAATCCATAGAATTAATGGGGAAAAAATTCTATCGAATTTGGACAGGTGGTTATAGAGATATCTTCGCTCAAAGTAGAAGAAAAATCAACAAAATAAAGCTACGTCAATTTTTTAAAACTTTGAGTGAAAATTTCTCCACATCTACCTAGACAAAATACAATAAAAATTTTAATTTAAATTCTATGAATTCGTAGAATTCAAATAAAAAAATTTTTATCA